TTTCAAATTTTTAAAATTTGTTTTTAAAATTTCATTTAAGATAAGTTGACATATCAGTCTAATATTTCTCATCTTGGATTTTTTTCGCTTGTTCTTATGAATTTTTCCCATCTTTTTCAGGTGTACTATCGATTATTCCTTTCCGACAACGATCAGAAATGGTATGATCAGTGAATTTGTTCTTAATTTCGGAAACTAAATGGTTCAACTTTTTCTTAATCTTTATTTTAGGTAGTCAGAACTATTCCAAATTCATGTGTTATTGAAGACTTTAAAATGTTTTCTTCGCAGCGAAATAGATTTTGTCCTGTTTGTTTTGTAAGTTTTTTGCCATTTGTAATTTTTAATGGTTTTTTTAGTGACTCAAATTTTATAAATTATTGAGGATGAACAATCTCTATCATTTTTTATTTATTGAATTTCTATGTGATGATTATTTGATAACAGTATGGTTTTTTGCAGAATATATTTGCATCTTCTCATTTCGCTCGTCACTTCGTACCTGTTCATTTGTTTCTGTGTAAAGAATGTGGTGTAGCTTTCACGGATTCGAATTGTTTCAATCTCCATTCAAATGATTGCCAGAAATTCCCTGGGAAACGTAATTTTAATCTAGTTTTTCAATTTTCTTAATTACTTTATAAATTTATTGAAATTTACTTCAATTTTATTTCTCATTTTTAATCATTCGAAAGATTTTGGGAAATAATGATAAGCTTGATTGTTTTTGATTAATATTTTTCGTAATGCTTATTTTCAGATTCTGATGGGGAATTTATGCCTCACTGTTCTTTATGCAACTCCGCAGTATCCGATCCTGAGAGATATTTCTATCATTTAATCCATTCTCATTTTAGTGAATTTATGATCGATCCTGGGAACCATCAGGTATTTCTCTAATGATTCTCTTTTTTTGGTCTATAATTCTTGTTTTACATTCTATTTTTTAGTGAGTTCTCTTAATTATTTGACCAAATTCAATTTTATGTTTCTCTTTTTTTTTATCTGAGACTTTAAATTCGTTATTTGGTAGGTTTTGCCGATGTTCGTTTGGAAGAAATTGGCTCTTTCGGTTGAGGCTACAAAATATGATGGAGACAAAGTTATTTTCTTAAATTCGCTTTTACTTGAAATATTATTGACTTTTATTAGAAATTAAAATAATACAAATTATTTATTATTTGTTATAATATATAAAATTTATTTTTTTTTATGGTTTAATATTAAATTTATGATTTAATTTATGGTTTTTCTGAATTCTAACTTTATATTTTATTTTATTGGCTGAATTCTGAAATAGATCATTTGAAAATAGATTTTAAGATGCAAAGATTTTTTTTTATTTATTTATATAGTGTAAATAGTATTTTCAAATTATAAGAATGAATATAATAAAGAGGGGGAAGGAGTGAACAAAGAATTGCGTATAAGAAAAAATACGAAAGTTTTGTGACGAAAGTTGGGGAATAAATATATTGTATCTCGGGGAATGAGTAATATAAAAAAATACTGGGAAAAGCAAATATAAGGAGAACTGATAAATCTAAGGATATAGGATCTACCAAGAAAAGAGATTTTATCGAGTGATAATGGAGTACCAACTCAAATTTTGGGAATATCAGATGCTTCTCCAAACAAAGATGGAAACATTTCTTCTGATGTTAGTTTTAGTTTTTGTTAATTTTTATTGTGATTAATAAGGTTAATTTTTTCCCCTCTTCCTGTTTATAGAGCATTATAGAGCATTTGATTAACCCACATTTTTGTTTGATTAATCAATTTATGATTCTTTTCTTATAAGTAAGCTTTTGTTTGAATATGTTCAAGATTGTCCACTTATATTACTTTTGCAGATTCATTGTCGGTTATGTGAAAAACCTTGTCAGGCCAATTCTTTAGTTGGGCATTTGCGAACTCATAAAAATGTTTGGCAGATTTGTCCGATTTGTGATTTCGAACAGTGTGAACATGTATCAGTTAAATCAGTTAAAGATTTATTTGCACATGTAATATCGACACATATTCAAAAGCAATATTTATCTGAAGTATGTTTCTTTTTTCTATATTTAATTTTTCTTTTCTTCGAATTTCATTAAATTACTTATACTTGATAAAAAATAAAAAATTTTAATAAAAAAATTTCAATCTGCATAAAATCTGTCACATAATTTCATGGAAATTGCAGTTTAATTCTAGATCTTGCAATTATTTTCTTGGTTAAGTTCTTAATGGAAATTTTTCTAGTATTTCTTATTACTATAATGAGTGCTACTATTGATGCTTCATTTTTTTGGAATTCAACTTATAGTCCTATTGGATACGGTCATCATTGGCCAAAGTTGGATCAAATTGTTCAGTTGGATAAAATTATTCAGAGTGATTTAAGTTTATAGAAATCTGAAAAAACAGCAAGCAAAGAACCGGCGCCAAGAGACTCAATTTTAAATGATATTAAAGTTCGATTCAGCTCAAATTTCATAGTGAATATTGCGATTTGACATGACCTTACAAATCGAGCTGTTCAAAATATAATGATTTCTGATATAATGATATAATGATTTCGGAATAATGAAAATGTAGTTGCGAGATATGTTTTATTCACACAATGTTGAATAATATTCATTTGGTCAGAACAGGTGTAAAATTTATATACTATGTATATGATTTTGTCTGATCGAATATGATGATAACCAGTTTTGCAAATATAAACCAGCATCAGAAAGTGACTGCATTTGATAACATTAGTGCCGGAAACTATGCTGTTTTGCAATATCTCGAAACTTGGATTCTTGGATGCTTGTTAGAAACTGTTTGCTACAAACATGGAATCACTGAATCAATAATGGATTAAAATCTTAGATTAAAACATTCTCGTACAAATCTTATAAAAAATTGGAAGAACAACGGTCGAAATATAATTATACTCTGCCGAAGTTGAAGGAGTCGGAAAAAAGGAAAGATGTTTATGGTGAAAGATATTGAAATGATATGCTTGGCAAAACATGGTGAAGGATTGTAATTTTTATTGAAAAACGTAATTTTTAAAAATATTAATGAGCTAATGAACTAGCAAAAAGACTTTTTTAAAATTTAAATCTTATTTTTATCCATTAGAAAATATGCCGATTATAATATTGCAAACATTACGAAATTATGTGACAGATCCTTTGGATTGAGAATTTTCTCTCTAAAACATTTCGAATTTGAATCTTTGATTATCTTATAAGCTCTTTGATTTCTCTTTTCTTTCAGGAATTAGAAAAAAAAGTGGAACTAATTTGCACATATTGCAGTTACAGGATTAGTTATTCATCTTCAGATAATAAGAAGTCGGATATAATTGAAGAAAAAATGATCCGACATATTCTTTTTTTCTGCACTGGTCTTAATATTTGTTTATTGTGCAGTGATGGAAAAACTTTTGATTCAAATGATGAACTTTTAAATCATCGTTATACTTTGCATGAGGAAGTTTACTTCAGGTATATACTTTGGTCCTCTATGTTTATTTGTTAAAATCAGGAATATTTATTTATCATTTTGTTTTTATAGATTCGAATGTATGCATTGTTCTGAAAAATTCCCCACTGTGAGCTTGTTTGACGCGCATAAATGTACGGAGGATCTCATGAGGTGCTCATGTGGCCAACGTAAACCTTACATAGAAGGACGGTTTTGGAGGCATTTTAAAGAACATTTGAATGCATCTTTAGATTTTTGTTTTTTGTGCAGCCAGTATTTTCCTACGGTAAGCTTTTTAGTTTTCTCTTATTTTCTTTTATCTCAAAAAAGTTTTTTGCGATTATTTCTTATATAATAATGATATGTCTGAATATCTGGTTCTAAAGAATGGATCTAAAGACTTGCATTTTGAGCAAATTCAGAAGGTGATTTTGAAAAAAATCATTTTCAAAAGGTATGAAACTTATTTGAACTGTAGAGTAAAACGGTGCAGTATAATAATAAAAATCAGTTTCAGTCAGTTGTATTTCAGTCTTTTTTAATTTCATTAAATTGAATTTCGTTTAATTGAAGCTTTTTTAAGTCTGAGCTCCGAAATCATGTAGAAGCGCATAAGAATTACTTGGTTTGGCCTAGAGTAATGATCGATCTGGCTGATAAGAAAACACCGATGGTCCGATCCAAACGGGAATCAAGTGTCACAGACCTTACAAATTCAGTTTTACGAAGTACCACACAACCACAATCGTCTTTCACAGTTAATCTCTTTTTTTTATTTTATGTGTTGAATGATTGAAATACTATTGAAACAAAAAATTCTAAAAATTCTTGCTTTAATTTTAAAAAGGCTTTTATTTAATTGTTTAATAATTATTTAAGACTATTGTTGTCGGTCGTAGGTTGTGCGCAATCTTTTTAAGCTGTCATATTTATCATGTTTATTTTACTGCTTTGTGCACTATTATTCGTCCATAGTTTTTTTTTTTATTTTGAAGGCTCCACATTAATTATTTGAACTAAAAATTGCAAAAAAGTCAAAATGGAAAAAAATTTTCAAAATTGATTGATTAAAAAAGTATTAGGTGGAATCCTACAAATTGCAATGTCCCAAGTGTCGCACTAAAAGTTCAGTTCAGTTTATATTTCCTCTCCTTCTCCTCCCATATTAGTTCAGGTTTTTTGTGCTTTTCTGGTTCACTTTATTATATTATTTATATGATTTATATGTTTACTGAAGAGTGGTGCGTATTGATAGGATTCTATGCAATAATATTAAATGGCTCAGCGGGTTGTTTCTCAATTCGGATTGCCGATGCTGAGGTTCTCCGCAGGAGTAAACCTATGGATGGTGCTGTGTATTTATTTCGCCAAGGGAATCCTTGGCATATTTGTCCAGTGTGACAAGCCAGAGGAGCGAGTTTAACTAGTAATGATGAGGAAAAAAAGCAATAATGTTGGAAAAGCAATTTTTTTAATAATTACAATAGTTTACTATCCAATATTCTATTTGATTTCCGTATTCAGTAATTTTTGTTAAGATGGCATCTCAGAAGATGGCAGGTGGTGGTACTGAACAAGAAAAACTCGTATTGGATAAAAGAACAGTTAATAGCCATAAAGGTAAGTAAAATTTGAATGTTAAAATTTATGCACTTGTTTTCATTCAATGTCTAGTTAAAATCCTTTCAGCCAATTCAACCAATTAACTATTTTAGTAGCCTATGATAATTGCTTTTTATTCTTGCTTCGATGCATTTAGTTCAATTAAATGAAAACATCTGGCAAATCCCAATGAAATCCCAATGAAAATTCTTTTCTCCGAATACCTCAAGTTGCTAATAAAAATAGTTCGATCGTTATGCCTTATCGTTATGACAATAGGTGGTTCTTCATTTAAAGAATTCTATGAAAGAATTCATTTAAACGCTTCTGTCGTCATCATCGATTTAAGCGATTCGTTTATAAAAGTTTCCACTATATTCCATAAAATTTCCGAAAAAATAAAAAATAAATAAATGGTTGATTGAGTTTACTGTTTTACTATGCTTTATAAAATAAGGAGTGGAAAAACTTAAAAATAATCATTCGGAAATGGAAAAATATTTAAGAAATCTATCATGAAAAATTATTTTGAGTGTTTTAAAGAGGCCTCCAATATGATTGATATAGCCTTGGTTAGATTAGCATAGAATATTTTTGTTTTAACTGAAAATGTATTGAAAATTTTTTTCGCAATCGTTCTCACAAATTTATGGGTAATATTTTTCAGTTTTTCAGCTTTAATGGTTGAGTTTATTATGCTTTGCAAAATATTTTTGTATAATAATATGTATAATGGAAGGAACATCAGGCTTAAAACTAAAATTTTCAGAATGTCAAGTGAACATCATAAGTGTCAATAGCGCCAAAGATGATGCGAATGTTACTGGAAGACTCACCTTCAATTCTAAAAGGCGTAAGTGTAAATGTACCAACGACGGTGAAGTTGTGGTTAAAAAAAGTCGTGGGCAAGAGCATTTATCAGCCGAGCTATCGAAAGATGTTGGTGAAACATCTGATTATCAATTTAATCGTATTAATGCAAAAAGTTTGGAAATCTATCTTAATTCGTTATTTTTATTAAGAGAAATTTGATTTTCTTGTCGTAAATTATATCTCTATATATATATTTGAAAATATCTTATGAATTTTTTTTTTGTCGAATGATTACGATTTAAGATTTGTAATCCAAAAAATTATAGTCGGAATCGTTTAAAACTTTCGAAAATGAATCGAAAGACTTATTGGTTGATGATGTTCATTTATTTAATATTATTAAAAGGTGATGCAGTTTTCAGAATTTCATCGAGATTCAGAATTATATTAAACTTCTTTTTTTGCTAGTTACTACAATCAATAATTTTTTTATTAGTCATCTTTGAAATTAGTTTACTTTTTCGATTAATTTTCTCTTATAAATTTGCTAAATTGCATAGCAAACTCATTTCTAGTTGGTTTTTTGGTTTAAATTATTTAATTCACATACAGCTAGATGAGAGCTAAATTTAATTTTAAGAGGTTTCTTAATTTCAGTAATTTTAATTTTTAAAATTAAAAACATCGTTGTAGTGTTGATATTGGATCAATAAAAAATCGAAGAGCGGCATTGCAATGCGAGTACAGTGCTTTGACATTTATTACAGGAGGGGCTCTTCGATTACATCGTACGTCTCATCAGTATGATGTTGGTAATACATTAGAAAAGGTCGTATAATTTTGCGTTAAATTAATTTCTTTAACGATGTTTTTAAAATCTAGAATAAAATACTGTTTCATTTTCTCGAAAGAAAGCTGGGATGAGGTGCCTAAATTGATATAAATAAATATTTAATATTTAGAGATTCATTAAATTATTTTTCTAAAAAATTGCCGCAAATATGGCTTTTTATCTTTTCTTCTGATTTAAATTATTCGAATTTCCACTGAAAATTTTTTTCAGGTTTATGGTGTTCCTTTGAATGCAACATTTTATATTTGTCGCTTATGTTGTTTGGCTTATGAAAATAACTCGATATATCAAAAGCATATGCATATACATGGTTCTATTTTCAATTGCTTACATTGTTCGGCAGTGGCATTTAATGTTGCCGCTATGAAATTTCACGAATCGCTACATTTGGGTTCCAGTTCTTCAGACCGATTAATTTATATTTGTTCGATTTGTATGACAGCGTTTTCAATTGTAATACTTTTAATATTACCACATTCAGTCTAAAAGTTTTCTTAAATTGAAAAGTTAAATTTTTATTAAGTAATTATTTAATAATTAATTTTATGGATTTTTTTGTTTTTCTTCAGGAAGAACGTCTTTACCACCACATGCAAAAAATGCATGGGCAGTATTTACTATATTTTTGTAAAGTATGTGGTCTTGCTAACAGCGATGGACAAATTGTTTATTCTCATATCGCAAAGAAGCAATGTAAAGATGAGGTTTTTAATTTTCATGAGTTTGAAATCGTAAAAAAAATCGTGGAAAGTAAAAACTTTTTTTAAATGGTTTTAATCATTTTTATGGCACGCATTTGTTTCTATTTAAGGTGCTCGATTCTGTATGTCAAATGGGTTTTGTTGCCGCATGTATATTTCATTTTCAACCAGCTGATCCACAAAAATATGAATTCTTACAGAATAATGGTGCATTAGCAGTGATTGTACCTTCAGAATGTCTTCATCGATCATTTCTATCTCAAAGCAGTACTGATCTCTTTTTTATCACTTGTACCACTTGCAAATCTTTAGTAAGTTTTTAGTAAGTTAATAAGTTATGTTAAGTTATTAAATCTCATATACTATATGGCATCGAAAAAAGTTTTTTCACCAGTGGAATACGCTTGCTTTTTTTTGCAGATGAATTATGGGCGATTTCAAATTGAAAATCCGACAATATGTTCCACTTTTCCAGTTGCTTTTTTTTCTTCTTTCTGTTATATCTATTATATCTTTCTATTATATCTTTCTTATTGATTTCTGATCAGTTTGCATTTAGACAAATTTCATTCGAGCACCTGATGACAACAGTGATACAATTCGTATTCTTACTGCAGCATGGGAAACTAAGAACGAACATATGTTATCAGTGCAGCCGATTTTACCAGTCTCATCTTCTATCCATGGTACAAATTCATCTTTAGTTTGTTTTCTTCAGTCTGCTTTTGTAGAAGAAAAGCAAACTACAATAAATGATCCAAGCACTGTGGCTGTCGATCTAAATGTGGCATCTATAAATAATGTAAGTGTTTTCGTGTCTTCCAAAAAATTCCTATTGTTATTTTCATTCTTTTGTTTCCTTACAGATGATTTTCCAAATTTATTTGATTTACGAGATGTGTAGAGATATTTACTTGCAGTGGAAAATGATGGAATTACCAGTACAAGAAAGGGAAGCTGTTGAATTTCTTCAGTGCCATGGTATTTTACCGCAGACTATGGCTTGTCGTAAAGGTCATGCAGCAAAATTACATTTTTGTAAACATATATACTGGAAGTGTGCCAAAAGAACTTGTCAAAAGAAGATGAGAGTTCGAAGTAGAACCTGGTTGGAAGGGTCGCGTATACCTATTACTACAATTATACGATTCATACATTGTTGGTGCCAGGAATCAAACTCCATTGATTGGTGTCAGCGCGAACTGAAACTTTCTAAAGATTGTGTTATCGAATGGAATAATCGGATGCGGGAAGTGTGTGTCTCTGCTGTACAACGGAACAAAAAGAAAATTGGAGGCGATGGGCTTACAGTAGAAATTGATGACAATTTGTTTAATAAAAGGAGAAATAACGATGAAAAGCCATTGCCAGAACATTGGATATTTGGAGGAATTTGTAGAGAAACGAGAGATATGTTTATAGAGGAAGTCCCTGATCGGAGTGCAAATACTTTTTTGACATTTATAAAGAAAAATGTTGAGGAGGGATCAATAATTTATTCGGATTTTTTGCGTTCATATAAGATTGAGGAATTGAATGAAGCTGGATTTGAACAGTTAAAGGTCGATTATAGGTATAATTTTGTGGATCCTAAAACTGGTCTGCTTACACGTCATATTGAAAAATTGTGGGTATCGTGGAATAGAAGGAACCGAAGAACCATTCGGCACCATCTCGACACATATTTGGCTGAATTCTTATGGCGCCAAAATCTACGAGATGAAAACGTATTTTATGCATTCTTAAGGGAAGTAAAAGAATTTTGGCCACCGGCGAAAGAATTTTGGCCATCGACGAAAGAACTTTAGTTCCTATATCATTTATACTTCAGTCTATATTTTTTCCCATTAATTTTATAAAACTTGTACTATCACTGAAATAACTATTTTGCAAAATAAAATACCCAAGTAAAACAAATGTATTTGGAAATTATTAGGGTAAAATTAAAATTATAAAAAGGTAAAGTTATTTAAATGAAAAATCTGATTTGAATGTCTAGCAAATATGCAACTTGTACCGGCACAGTAGAGGAACCCACAAACGCCATTTTGGACACTTTCGTCGTAATTGCTGTGGATATATATGGTTGGAAGCGAAGGAAAAATGCAGGGAAAATGATTAAATAAAAGCAGCTAAAGAAACAGGGAAAAAGAAAATTTCTTACTCACGGCCGGATATGTTTGACTGTTCAGTTCAAAAAAATAGCCCTTGCGTTCTTCCGATTAATAAAATATATTATGGAGTAAAATCATCAAAAGACCATCAGTCCGTGTCCATGTCGCTCGTTCTTATTATATGACTGTATGACAAGGCCAACGAGAGTGGAGTATATTAATCACTCATAGATACTATATTTTGTTAATTGCTAACCCTGTAATAATGGATGGCGTCAAAAGTGGGGAGGACCAACCAAAACCTGGACTGACACAGTTAGTGAAAGATTTTAAACATGCAATATACGGAATTAGGCGATGGTAGAAGGAATGGATCCAGATAACATCGGGTTGGACCTTGTAGACAGCGGAGTCAGCCTAAATGTAATGGTGAAAAAACTACTGCTAGAAAAAGAAAATTTTTAATTTGTTCTTCCATCAATTCATTTAATATTTGTTTTAAGTAAATTTGCAAGAAGAATGAAGGATTTTCAAATTTCAATTCATCGACATTCCAACAGTAAAAAATGGAGAATAAAGGGNATAGGTTTAATTACCAAGTTTGACTACGATATGTATCGTATATAATACGTTATGATAATTTCAAAGATTACGATAAGGACCTGGACGATATGTATTTGTTCATAGAAACAAGGCTCAAACATCAAATTACAATATTACAGATAATCAAAATTTTTTATCCCTATTTTTTTCATTAAAAGAAGCAAAATCATTGCATAAAATATTGATAGTAACCTTTCGAAGTTCTGGCTTAAATAATATTTATAATGTGCTACCTTAAAATCAAAAAGTTTTGTAGCCTTTTTCGTAATTTAATAAATTTCAAAAAAAACTTGATTAATTGTGGATAACTGGGACTGCGGAATGTTTCGTAACACTGAATTAGTAATTTCTATAACATTCAATTCCCGCTTGGATCGGACAATCGGCGCTTTTTTATCAACGAGGTCGATTATCACTCTAGGCCACATCACGTAAATCTTATGCGCTTCCACATGATTTCGAAGTTCTGACTTAAATAATAGATTCAAAGAAATTGAAGTAAAATTTAAAAAAAACAAAATTAAAAGTTGATTAAAATAAATTCCAATTATTATGCTCCAACATATAAACTTTAAACTTTTATAAACTAATAAGCATATAAACTTTTCTAAAATCTTCGAGTTTCTTAACATTTATAACAAAGATGAAGCTGCCAAATTTTTCAAAAAGCGCCTTAGATCTATTAAGTGAGGATATTCGAATATATTCACTTTGTTAGATCAGGTCATTCGAATGATATTACCGGATATTGGATACAGTATGGCTGCAAAACTATCACCACGTGAAGTGTAAAAGAATTTTTGAAAAGAAAACTAAACTAAGAGCTTACCGTAGGAAAATACTGACTGCACAAAAAACAAAAATCTAAAGATGCATTCAAATGCTCTTTAAAAGGCTCACTATGGGGAATTTTTCAGAACAATGCATACATTTGAATCTGCAAAAACAAAGTAAGAAAACCATAGTCAAGGAAAACATATTCTTTTTTGTGTAGAAATATACAATTGAAATTATGATCGGATATACCTTAAGTAAATTTCCTCATGCATAGAGCAACGATGATTTAAAAGTTCCCCATTTGAATTGAATGTTTTTCCATCATTACACAATAAACAAGTATTAAAACCAGTGCAAAAAAAAAGAATATGTCTAATCATTTTTTCTTCTATTATATCTGACTTCTTATTATCTAAATGCGAATAACTAATCCTGTAACCGCAATATGGGCAATTTAATTCCACTTTCTGAAAAAAAAATTGAAGGAAGTACATAAGTTAAAAAGATCGTTTCTCTATACAACAAAAGACCTATAAATTTATTTTAGGCAAAAAAATTCTAGATTCACAGGATCTGTCATATATTTGCTAATATTTGCAGGTAATTTCATGTTTTCAGCTATATTTTAATGAAAACAGAAAACAGATAAATTAAATATTAGATAAGACATTTTTAAAACAAAACATGCTTTGCCAAGGAAAAACAATCATTCGCATTATTTTTTCGCCCTATTAATGCAATATATTTAATCGTTAATCCATAAATTTGTGTTTAAGATATTGCAATATCTTAATCTTAGATCATTTAAATTTGCAATATATCCGGAAACCAAAGCAATCCATCGTTTAATGATTAAATGTCAGGAAAGTGCAATTTAATTCTCTGCTCACAATCTGGCTGTATCATAAGTCCGATTAATAATACATTTTACATTGCACAACTATTGTGCTACACAAAATATTTTTATTGTACCACCATTTTCACTATTGTAGGAAATAAAATTCTTTCCAATCTCCAGTATAGTTTCTCACATACAACAGTCAAGAAACTCCACCATCTGTCACCCAAAAGATCTAATTGGATAACGTAGCATTACCGTCGTAGCACTGCATTCAACATTAACCAAATTAAATCCGAGATGCCTAAAATTTATGGTTCAAAAAGAACCAGCTTTTTCCTTCAGATATCGCGAATTATTATCTCTATCACCGAAATCAGCTTCACTTCTTTCGCGTTTCTTAACTGTCTCTTCTAGTTTCTATATATATCAACCAGTCCATTCATTACGGTTTATTTCAATAATGGAATTTTTGGCGAATCGGGACTGATGTCAAGTTGGATTGGTTGGATCATTCACCTTTTAAGCAAAGAGCCGATAATATTACTTATTTTATAAGGACAGTGTTACAAAAACATCCAATATCGCTAAAGAATTTAATATCTCAAAGAATTTAAATAAAATCTCAAAAGTTCTGCGACCACAATAAAAACAACTTTAAAAACAACTGCAGTAACATAAAAATTTTGAGAGGCAAATGTTAGAAAATTAGATTTATTTACTAAATGAAAATTTTCATTGATTAAGTTTATTAAAGAATTTAAAATGCGCAAAAAAATGAAAAAAATAAAACAAACGTCATCAGGTACATATTGCTTCTGAATGTGTTTCAGTATTACATGCGCAAACAAATCCTTAATTGATTTTATTGATCCATCCACATACATCCACATTCTTCAAAATTACAAACTGGACAGATCTTCCAAATTTTTTTATGGGTTAGCAAATGCCGAGCCAAAGAATTGGCTTGACATGGTTTTTCACATAAACGACAGCGTACCTATGAAAGTACTTCTATAATTGATTATTCACATAAAATATTCCATAATTCTGATTTACCTACTTAGAAAAAAGCAAAACAGGTCTCGAAATAATATAATTTGACTGCATATTTGTCTCTCTGATTTAAAAAGTTCAGATAAGATTAATCTTATCTGTTGCATTCAACAAAAAAAAAAACTAACGCAGGAAGCAATGTTTAAATCTTCGTTTGGAGAAATATCTGCAATCCTCGAAATTTTGATTGGCAGCTCATTGTTTCCGTTCGAAATATTCAAATTCCTTTTTTTGTTTACTTCCTGAATATATAAACAACCTTACCGTTTCTCCTTATTTCTTTTTTATCACTTTTTTCCATTAAACTCGTCATATCTTTTGTTTAATCATTTATTTCCCACTTCTGTCCATTAAATTTTTAACTTGTATTAAGCTAAAACTTTAAATCAAATCAAATTTTAAATGACCAAAGTCCATTTTTAGATGATAATTTAAATTTAATATAATAGTATCGATTCCCGGAATGAAAATATGGTTGAAAATATAATTCACAGTGAAATTCATAAATTCATAACTTGAAATATTTCGCAAAAGTTATACCTAAATTACTCTAACCGAATAAATATATCATTAAAATCCAGATGGTCTGAAGACTTACCTATATCTCTTTTCTCTCCCTGACAAAAATTTCTAACTATATTAATAGTCAGTGGAGCTAATTTAATAGTAATCGATAATTCACACCGAAATAATCGAAACTATATAATGCGATGAAAAATATAAAGTAATGAATGTCAAAATTAAATAAGTCAACATAACAAAAGGAAACTTTGTTGTCATATATAGGATAAACATTCGAATAAGACTGCTTCCACATAAACATCGGCAAAACCTGCAAAAGAAAAATAGGCAGATTGGCAGACTCAATTGAAAAAAATAATTGGAAAATATAATACAAACAAACAAAAATGACAAGTACCTGATGACTCTCAGGATCAATCTTTAATTCGCTGAAATGGGAATGGATTAAGTGATAAAAATATTTCTCAGGATCGGATAGAATGAAGTTGCACAAAGAACAACGGGGCATCGATTTACAAAATGAATCTTAATTTGAGTACGATTGAAAACAACTAAAAAATTTTCCTTCTGTAATTTTTTTAAATTGGCTACTGCTGATCATTCCATTCATTTTTCTTTAGAAAAATCAAAATTAAAAATAACCGCTTAAAAAATGAAAACTTTCGAACCGACTTTACGATTTTAAAAATGATTTTTCAAAAAAATGGCAATTACTTTTTTTGCAAGATGATTTTTTGCAGCAGTTGGAATGAAGTTCGAGTCTTTTCGGTTCTGTGAAACCTGCCCACATTGTTCACATAAAAATAAATGAACAGGCACGAAATGAAGAGCAAAATGAGAAGACGCAAATATATTCTATAAGTCAAATGAATCATTTTTTTTTAATTGATACGGTAGTTGGCATATATTTATAAAGCATGACTGAAAATAGATCAGTTAATTGATATTTAGCTCGACCTGAAATTAGATAAGTTCGCTTCGATAAGAATAAATCTATCATTAAAAATGAAATCAGGGAGATGCTGGGAACCCACATCCACTTATCTCCAAGTGATTTTAGCGACAGAACCTTACGCTAGCAGTCAATGCAGCGCAAAATGGTTAATGCGATTAGAAGTAGAAAATAAGGAGAAAACAGCGAATATGAATGAATAAGAATGAGCCTATTTGTTTCCGGGAAACTTGCACTCTTTTAAAGAACTAATAATAAAAATAGATAAGTTCTAATGGAACTTACGAAACAAACTGGACAAATCCTATTTGATTGTGAAGAATGCCTTTTAAATTTGGCAACGTTACATGGATTCATTATCATTTTAGCAACCTTAAAAGATTATTAATTGAAGAATTTTTTCTTCATCACATAACGACTGTATTTGTTAAGCTTGCTCCATCAACTAAAGATAAGATTTCAAGCTATTCGATCCGACAGTACCAGAGGCCATATTTTTTTCCATCGCTTAAGCTCATACTGGCCGCGCTAAATTAAAAATCGACTGTATCAGCTCAGGTCTTGATTAATCCTCTCTGATGCCATCCATCATATAGCAAATAGTGTCAAGAAATATGCATCAATTTCTGCGATAGGAGATGAAAAATAAAACTTAATTAGCGTAGGAAATATTCCATAATGGTATTGCTATGTATTTCAGCGAAGGTGGAAGCAATTATGAGAAATTATTCCGCTCAGCAAGCGCTCAATATGGTAATTAAAAAAATAAAAATAAGTTAACACTCATACCATTTCTGGCCGACCTTGAGAAGGTACGTACAACAGTACATCAGAACACAACGGAAGAGATTCATGAGAAGGCAGAAAGCAATCCATGGAAAATGAAATATTAGACTGATGTATTAGCCCATCTCAAAATTTGACCATATATAGCTAAGATATTAAAAGATTGCTCAATACAAAAAAATAAATGAAAGAAATAAAATTAAAAAGTGCAGAACTGCAGTAATAATAATTACTTTCGATATTAGAATGGAAACGTCCATCTTTTGTTAATCCAACATTAATATTTATGGTTTTTGCATTATCGTTAAGAAGAAGTGATGATGAATGAATATTCCACTCCATTATACCAATTGACTGAAGACAGGCTAAAAGAGAAAAATGTCAAGAAATTGCTTTTATCATCTAAAATATCCACATGTAATCATAATAATCGCGACCAAAAATTTAAAAGTGATAAGCAAACCAGGGGCTTCAAATACTGTATAGATCGCATGTTTGATTATAAAGTGTCGTCGAAGACTGATTATTGAACAACATGAAATACTACACCACGGACAAAGAAGTCTAATGTTCAACAAAGAATTACAACTAGATAATCGTATTACCTGTCAATAAAAAAATATAAGTCAGTAAGGAAACCTGTGAAATTTACAAGTTGCCAGATAAGATATCTCAATCAAAATCAAGAGAAACAATTCATGCGAAAAAACTTGGCTAAATCAGCTATTCCTTCATGGGTCATCTAGTAAAAATAGCGTGCAAAAATGAACGAAAATAAAAATAATATTAATCACACCAGGGATAATGATCGTAGTAAATACTTTCAACCATTAATAACAATATCCATGAAAAAAAAAACTTACTAAAAGTTCATTTTCAAGATCGTGCACATTAATCTCATCAATATTCATACTTTCTGATAAGCATTTTTTTAAATGTTTCATTAAACATTCGGTTCCCAATTGCAATGAATTGCATTTCGTACACAAATACAAGCTTAAATTTAACAATCTGTTTTGATCAAAAAGCTTAAGAAACGAGAAAAGTCCAAAATATAACTGTATGGAATAAAAATTATTGCAAACCTCAAGACCAACAATGCACTTTTCGATGGATCGTACACAGAGGCATTTGGCCCAACATAAATCCTTGCTTCTCGTTTAAATTGATTAACAAATGATAAAATATCAATTTCACTATTAACTATAGCAAATTTCGAATTCAGTTCAGCCGAATTCGCACAAAAATAGAGACTCCATCGATTATGGTTAGAGTTCACCTAAAAAATCATCTTCAGCAACATCATTATGCTATAAAAGCACTAGATACTCAAGAAATTATTTCGACCCATACCAATTTGTGAATTTAAATCGAGAAAGATCATATAATTGACAAAGTCACCGTATTAATTTCATAAAAATGATTCACTATATTTTTTTTACTATCGTGAATCATAATTCAATATTTTGAAATATTTATGGAATTTTATAAGATAGGCCCATATGCATCAATGGAATCCACAACAAAAATTTCATTCATGAAAATATTTGATGTAAACTAAAATAGACGGCAAATAAGAATAAAAAATTTTTCCTTCACTTTTTATCTCTATGTTTTTGTTTTCTACTAAAGATTCGTATACAGATTATTAATAAAATTTCCTGATTTTTTTCGAAAAAATTTCAATAAGAAATTAAATTACTTTATCAAAATCATCCATTGCATTATGGATGGTGTCACTCGAAATTTCACCATCAATCGCACATTTCAAATCACAATCAATTTTGCAGAATTCTTCCATCATCCATAAAGGTGCAACTGGAGTCAATCCAGCAATTAAAGGAGCAAAAGAATATGTATCGCCTATGTGGCTCAACATATGGTTCCTTTAAAAAAAAATAATTTAATTTAATGATGAGAAATACAAAAAAATGCAAAGAAAATGTAAATGACCTTTATTATATTAGCGATGGAATAGAAAATATAAAAACGCACCGATAAAAGAACTGAGAATAAAATAAGGAAGCGCAAACAGGACATTTAAGGGTTTCAATTTCAGAAATATGCAAATCTTGATGAATTTCTATATCTTTAGCCGAAATATAATGGTAGTTACATATTGAACATGTAATAGGGATGGAATTTTCAACGGAAAATCCTTTCAAATAAACATATTCCATTCCAAGCGGTTCTTCGGCAAAAAATATAAGGCAAGAGACCAAACGATCACAGTCATGCAAACCCTTAAAATATCAATAATAAAAAAATTCTATAAACTTATTAATTTTTACCCTTGTATATTACTGACAATATTGTTATCATAATATTATTACCATTATTATTATTATATATTTATATATTATTACTGCTATTATGATCATTAATAATAATAATAAATTGTAATCAATTATTTAATTTTTATTATTTTTAGATTACTATTTAATGAAAATTAAATTATGAAAAAAACTTTAATTCAAAAACAATAATGATAAAAAAAGAACCAATAAACCACGTAGTTTTATGATTGACGAAAGTTTATCGATGCCAGATAAGGGAATTTGCAAATTGCACTCACCACAAACAAGAGTATGCATAACAATATTGAATTCAAACTGAAAAAAATTTTCCATAAATAATAATAATAATAACCGATACGGAAAACTACAAAGAAACTTGAAAAAATTTTCAAAATTAAAATTGTAAAAATGAATTATTTTCAGAGATTTCGACTATAGCATAAGAATATTCATTTTTATCAGAAATTCATCAGAAACATGCAATTTAAATATGCAGAAAAAAGTTGTGCACTACCGCACAAAAATTTCATAAAAATACGAAATAAAACTAACTTTTAAATCAGCCGTTAATAAATGAACAATATATTGAGCGAAATCAGTGCACGGATGTTTTTTTAATAATTCAATTGAAGGAAATGCTTCAAAACAGGTATGACATGCATAAAGATGTATATTGTAATGTTCATTTATCAAATGACTCTGAAAACGATTTTTCTAAATGCCAAACGAAAAAAACAAGAAATTGTAAATTTTCCTAGAGTAAAATCACATTTGAAACTTTTTTAGATGGGATGGAAATGCCAGAAATAAGCGAAATTTTAAGAGAATATTCATCTATTTCACCTAAAAAATATAGTAGCTGCAATAAATTTGTAAAAAAATTTACTTGTAAATCACTTTCAACCACATAATTTTCACAATCATGACAAAGCGGGCATTTCATTATACCCGAAAAAAGTTTTTCTTCATCTTCATGCATTTTTTTCATAAGAGATGATCGAAATTTTTCTTCAGCCAATGGCATTCCACCTACTTTATGACACGAAGGATCAATACTTTCTATATCTAGTAATTTATAAAATTAATTAATTTGTAAAATTACGTAAAATTAAATTTAAATTCACCAGCTTATAAAGTTAAAAATTTGCAATGAAGCCTTACTTGCAATATCTATCTCGTCATTTTCCTCGTCGATATCGATAATTTCACGAATATCTGTTTCTTTTTCTAATAGATCACGAATTATATCCAATAGTTCTCTTGCATCAGCAGTCGATGATTCAGAATTCTTAAATTATAAGTATAAATGTTAAATATAAGTATTTAAAATATTTTTTTTCGAAAACAGAAACAAAGGAAAAAGAAAATGAAAAAGAAGCGAAATTTAAAAAAAAGTAAGGTTGGTATTTTCGACAAAACTACATAAAACTACAAAACTACATTTCACCAATTTGATTTGAGCTTGATTCTTATTTGCTCGAAAATTATTATAGACCATTGGTATAAAGGAAAGTAAAAAGGTATTCGAAGTGCCGGAACAAAGAAATTATGTACTACTCGTTAAAATATAATGAGAGTTAAAATCGACAGTCCAATTTATTTTTTTTAACACTATATTTCCTATTTTCTCTGTTGTCAAAAAAATTAATTAAATAAGTAAATATTATAAAAGAAATTTAATAATCAATACAGTGAGCTTTTTTCGAGATTCCATTTCCCATTTTTGTCGAGCTCTTCGACTCATGTGATTCCACTAAAATATTTATAATGGAAAGATCTATGGAAAGAAAAAATGAATAAAAGTGAAAATCTCAAACCCCCTCAAAAAATATTCAAGAAGTTGAAGTTGAAGAATTTGCAAACAAGTTGGCAAGTTCAAATTTAAGAAAAACCGTTTTTTCTCAGGAAAAAAAGAAAAAATCAATCAATAATCAAAGACAAAAAAACTTACGGCAAATCGCAACATTTTCGCAACTGATTCCACTGTCCCCGCGTCATTCAAATTTCCAATTTTTTCAATCCTAGTGCTTAAAAGATATTGAATGTTTTACAAAAAAATAATAGAAAAAAACCACAACTTCTCGAAATTTACCAGATTTCTTCAAAAATCGGATCTGTACATAGCTTTACAAAATATCTGAAACCGCTACTAGCCAACGCAAATTTTTCATAGTCGTCTAAAACACTGATGATTTTTCTTCGTTGACCACTAATAAATGATTCTTGGATGTTTGAAAATTTGCAAATCCTATCGAGAAGCTCATCGTACTGAAAACTTTTCGATAAATAATAGTTGTTTTCAAAAAGGATAAACAATAGGAAAAAAACGGCTATTTAATAAAAATTAAAATAATCATAATCATGACTAAAAATCCAATTACTGGAAGCTTTTTGGAATAAACAGTCTGCGAAAATCCAACATTATTGAATTCGATAGGCAATTTGTTATTTTCAGCCTGATTAATCGCTTCGATATATTCCTCATCAGGTTCTTCTTTCAATTTCATAAGGAAAACTGCATTTTCACCGAGATTTTCGAATAACTGAATTCAGAAATTTAGAACCGATAATTTGATAAATTTTCATTGAAAAAGAATATTCGAGCAAGCATTTCATATTATTTTACCAAAACATCTAACTTTTTTCCGTGACTAATATACGTAAAAAATATGCAATGAGCTTAACAGCCTATCAAAAACTTATTGTAAAAAGAAAATAATAAAGTAACCAATATCGTTCAAAATCTTCATCAAAATGATCAAAATCTTACCTTTAATCTTTCACCGATTATCAATTTTCGCACCAAATTAAAATCTGGCGGTAGAATTTTCGGATTCTTCCTTTCCTCATCCTCATTACTACTAATAACGATATTTTCAACTTCGTCATTAATATCAACTTCTCGTTTACCTTGTCGATTCAGCAAATAATTTTCCTCATGACCATAATCATTAAGTTTCCTCTTTTTAGTGACACGTTTTTCGTTACTCTCGACAACTAAATCAGCAACTGGTTCACTTCCTTCAAAGATGACTGTGGCGGCTTTTTCAACCTAAAATTGAAACGTTCAAAGCAATTTCTTGTAGCAATTTTTAATAAATCTTGACGATACTACGCAGAAAATTCTTAAGCAAAATCCAGATTTTATGGATTGCATCTTTCACAATGAAAAATTCTATAAAATTATATTTAGAATCGATCATTACTGCTTGCATATAAAAAATTCAAGTGAGAAATTTGTTTTTCTAACTGAAAATCTATCTCCCCATTTGAAAAATAAAATATATTAAAAAGGCAGAGTTCCCCACCTTCTGAGGAAAGAAAAGAAGAGCATGGCGGAGGATAAGGCTGTCCTTACAGGTTATGGCGGCGATAAGGCAGAATAAAGTAAATCACTATAAATCGTACATTCGAGTACAGTGATGAAGAAATGAAAAGTAAAGAACTAATAAAGAGCGGGGGGAAAATGAAAAAGAAAAGAGAAAAGTAAGTAATGGGAAGGATTTTTGACCAGAAAAATAGCAAAAAACCCATTTTAAATCGTGGAATTATTTCTTCTTAAAACCGATTTGAACAATTTCGAGAAATTTCTTTAAAACGATAATTTAGAAAAAATCGACAAACTTCTCTTATTTTTGCCATTATTGAATCCATAATCGATAAGAAAAGTTAACAGATTTGCGGAAAAAAATCTGAAACATTAATTAAAACGTGAAAAGCGCAAATAACTCGTACTAGCGCCGCATTTACGAGCGATTTCTAATCCGCAGTTGCCACTGACCGCGAACCATTCGTTATCACTTCATATAGGAGGAGAGACAAAATGTGCAGCTAAACTCCCCAGAAATTCCTTCGAGTCACACTGAATATTCCTCATTTATTTGTATTAAAATGTCGAAAAGTAGTCGCCGATTGGCCATTAAAAAGGAAAGCTTCATAAACTTTTCCTCGTAAAATTGTCACAAAAGATTTTGATGGAAAAAATTAGAAAACGCAGAAGAACAGTGTAAAGCTGATTCCTAGCGTTTCACTATTCTCAGTCCGTTCGCTGGCCATTTAACAGGAAAGTAATTATAAGCTTATCGATATTTGGATGCAAAAAAATACCTAAGAAGGAAAAAAGATGTGGCAATGAGAGAACGATGAAATCGGATAAACTGCCGACCGACGACCAGGCGAAACGAATATGCATTAGCAAAAATCATCACACATTTCTTTATCAGTTCTCACATCTCTTCATTTTATATTATCACTATCAATATTGAATTCCCTGCAAAGTGAATTAGTGCACATCTCTGACGGAACGAAACGTCTCTATTTAGGATTATAGGTATTTACGTTGGGAATTATTCGAATTCCTGGGAAAACTTCAAGTGAGATTCGTGAATTTAAATGGAAAAAACTTTTATTCTCAATAATCGCGAAGATTCTATTGTTTTAACGAACCTCACGGAGCTCATAAGCGGGTACGTATGACTTCTCACCTACAGAAATATATTTTCATGCAACTTGGCGCTGAACTTATTATTATTATTAAGTTTTAACAGGGAATTTTTAAAAAAAAAATAAAATAAAATAGTAGGTTATTATTATTATTATAGTTAATTATTATTATTATTATTATTATTATTATTATTATTATTATTATTATATTATTATTAGGTTATTATTATTATTATAGTTGAATATATATTAAATTTTGTGATAATGAAAGCTGGAAATAAAAAAAAACAATGAGGCATTGCAATGTTAACGCTCACCATTCCTGGTTATTAGCGGGTTGCTTCGTACTAACTGATAAGATATTGCCAAGGAATCATTGGCGGATCACAGAGGTATAAGTAAGTCACCAGCATCACCTCGACTTTTATGTTTTTTTACCGTTTGTTGAAAGCAGGCAAGAGCGGTGCTCGCAACAACAACCTTAACAGCAAACACTCGTCTATTTTATTTCCCAATTATAAATCACTGCTGTAATTGAAAGCAATATCTACAAATTCATGCAAAACAAAATTTCACGGAATTTTATGTCTACGCAGCTTCCCCTTAACTGACTTGGGAAATTGGCTTCGGATAATCCTCAGTTAAACACATTGATTCCTTACTTAATTCATATTCCCCTTGATTTGCATCTTTCTTCTCATTTATTGCAAATGGTACCACTCGACGAACAAAAAATAAATGGTAACAAATACAAGAATATAGTGCTGTTACTAACGAACCGAGTTTCGTTTAATTACAGCGGAAAACCCGAGAGTCCCCAGTTTTCTAGTGGACCTAGTGGAAATCCTTCCTTTTTGGTTCGCAACAAACAAAGTTGAATCCGTTGAGTGGCACAACTGCTTTGTCTGAAGATAATCGGTGTTAGCTTATTTCCTACGACAAACCTATCAATAAAATGAAAACCGCAGTGCGGAGAACCCACATTTTTCTTCCGCCAGGTGAAATCACTGACGAAAACGGCGCTACCGTAATAGTCACCGAAATCAGCCAAACCAGTGATGATACGCAATGTTACAGGAAAATGTGGGCCATTGGAAGAACAATATGTTGGTAAGAGGGCGCATTTTGTCCGCCTTTCTATTTTCTCTTTTCCCTTTCTCCTCTACATTTTCCATCCTTTTTTCCGTTCTTTCTCTCTCTACCCTCTCTTATCTTCCTTTCTCTTTTCTCCAGTAACTAACTGTGAGCGAGCCGATCCAAGCTGACAGCATCTCCTCTTCGCCAAATCTTCCACTAATGGCTATCCTTCTTTAACTCTACAATTACATTTTTATAACAGCAATGTTAATTCTAAGCTTCTCAGCAACGATGTTTTTGAATTTTCAAGTACTTTATTCAGGTAAACCTATCAAATAAACGATGAACGATGTGATAAACTAAAGCATACATTTCATGATTTGGCGTGGAAAACCAATAAATATGAGTTGCAGCAAAGGAATTAAACAACAATACATTAATAATGCACGACAAATCGCACCGATTTCATTCAAATTGTTTATTCAAAATTATTTTACCAGTTTTCCATAAATTTCTATAAATTGTATAACAAATACTGAGAGATCGAAAAGAAGGAAATTAAAATTCTTTCGCCGGTGGCCAAAATTCTTTTACTTCCTTTAAGAATGCATGAAATACATTTTCGTCTCGTAGATTTTGCCGCCATAAGAATTCAGCTAAATACGTGTTAAAATGGTGCCGAGCAGTTCCTCGATGTTTTTTATTCCATGTTTCCCACAATTTTTCAATGCATTGTGTATTAGTTCCAGGATCCACAAAATTATACCTATAATCGACCTTTAACTGTTCAAATCCAGCTTCGTTCAATTCCTCAATCCTATATGAACACAAAAAATCCGAATAAATTATTGATCCCTCCTCAACATTTTTCTTTATAAATGTCAAAAAAGTATTTGCACTCCGATCAGGGACTTCCTCTATAAACATATCTCTCGTTTCTCTACAAATTCCTCCAAATATCCAATGTTCTGGCAATGGCTTTTCATCGTTATTTCTCCTTTTATTAAACAAATTGTCATCAATTTCTACTGTAAGCCCATCGCCTCCAATTTTCTTTTTGTTCCGTTGTACAGCAGAGACACACACTTCCCGCATCCGATTATTCCAGTCGATTGTTGCATCATTGGAAAGTTTCAATTCGCGCTGACACCATTCAATGGATGTCAACTGTTGACACCAACAATATATAAATCGTATAACTGCAGAGATAGGTATACGCGAACCTTCTAACCAGTTTCCACTTCGAATTCTCATCCTCCTCACGCAGTTTCCCTCCGTACATTTCCAGAATATACTTTTGCCGAAATATAGTTTTGTTGTATGACCCTTACGGCACATCATCGAACGTGGTAAGATTCCATGGTCTTGGAAAAATTCAACAGCTTCCCTTTCTTGTGTTGGCAACTATAAATATTCATATTCCATGGCTGAATGTTCATATGTTTTTTTTGTTTCTTAAATATACTTTAAAAATCATACAAAAGAATAAAAAAAATTATGAATATATGAATACAAATTTTTTAAAAAAGATGAGCTGAAAGTGACAAGTTAAGATCAAAAACTATAACTATGCTTGTACAATTGTACGATATACTGCTTTTCACTAACATATTGAGCAGAACA